ACCCAGGCGCCCCCAGAAAGTTATTTCTGAATAAGACTGCTGGTTTCTGTGTTGTGTTTTGTTTTGTTTTTTTTCTATTTTAAATAATGCGTTGGACATTAAGAGCTAGAGCTAAATCGTTATGCATATAGGTAATGTCCTTTGAAACTTTCCTAGAAGTGATGGCTTCCCATTCTTATTGATGAATTGGTTTCTGGAGCTTTAACAAATTATATTGGATAGGAACTTTTTTTTTCTTCCAGGTAGAAGCTTTTATTTAACAGATTGGTAAAAATGTTAGCAAGTGTGCAGTGAAATGGGTGTTCTCACAGTCATGGCAGAAAATACAAATATCTACGACCCTTGAGAAATTGGTTTACATAAACCCTCTCTGTTTTAGCAAGATATAAATATTGACTATCCCAGGCTGACTGGTCCTTATGACTCCAGAGCTCCCAGAAGAATTTTAGTCCTGGAGAAGACCTAGATTTGTCTGGCTTAGCCCATCTTACAGCTAACTACTGGGAGTGGAATGGGCTCATAGAGAACTGTGACCAAGTTTTGGGTCAAGGGAGAGAGATGGAAAGATGGGAAGGAATTAGGGAAACTAGCTCCAGTGGAACCACGTAGATTAATATAGAATGGTGAAGGAATGTTTCTTCCAAGGAAAACATTCTGGGCTGGGCTGCAGGAGGTGTGGAGAAGGCCGCTGTTCTAAAACTTTTTGGAGTCAAAACTTTTATACTGTTTAAAAGTGAGGGGTGTCTGGGTGACAGTTAAGCATCTGATTCTTGGTTTCGGCTCAGGCCCTGATCTCAGTGTGGTGAGATTGAGTCCCACATGGGGCCCACATGCTTAAAACTGACTCTTTCCCCCCTGCCCCTTACGCCCTCTAAAATAAAATAAATTTAAAAAAACAAAAAAAGTGTACTGAGGGCCCAAGGAGCTTTTATGTAGGTTACCTATCAATATTTATCATTAGAAATTAAAGCAAATATTTAAAATATTCATTGAAGTAAACATTTTAATAAAATATTATGTGAAATGGCCATATTTTGTAAACTAAAACATTTTAGTGAGAATAGTGGCATAATTTTACATTTCTTTAAATCTCTTTGATATCTGGTCTGTCATTTGTTTCTGCATTCAGTCTGTAAGGGTATTTGTTTTGGTTGAAATAATATGAAGAAAATTCAGCCTCACAAATATTTGGCTGGGAAAAGTAGGAATATTTTAATAGCCATTTAGATAATTGTAGATATTCTTTTTGGATATTTCACCAAAACGTGGTCTTTCTTATAAAGATTTTATTTGACAGAGAGAGACACAGTGAGAGAGGGAACACAAGCAGGGGTAGTGGAGAGGGAGAATCAGGTTTCTTGCTGAACAGAGAGCCCGATGCGGGGCTCAGCCCAGGACCCTGGGATCATGACCTGAGCTGAAGGCAGACCTTAATGACTGAGCCACCCAGGCACCCCAAACTTGATCTTTCTTGAACTGTCAATGAATCTTCTGTCCTTGCGTGATTTATAACATCATGTATTCATCACTTGGAAAATATGGTTCACTGAAATCTAAATGTTGAAATGTTTCATTATATAGTATGAAGACATTATATTAAGATCACCAGCAACCTCATCAGAATATTCTTAGACAGCTCTCAAGCTCATAGTGGATACAGATTTTCCAAAATTCTAATTTTTGCTTGAAAGCTTGAATTTTATCATTGGCAATAAATACTGTCCTTTGTTTTCCTTGAAATGACATACTCTATTCATTTTTGAGAAAATGTCAGAAACCTGAGTTGAAATAACCATTGTCTGTCAGTCATCCTTTCGGGTAAAATTGGTGTTCCTTTAAAGTGGTTAGTTCACTTCACAACTCAGTCACACTGTATTCTGTAAGAGTTCTCATGTGTGCATTCCATTTCATCAGTTGCAATATTAAAAAGACCTATATAAGGATTGAGATTTTGTAAAAAAACTTTTACTACTTAATCACAGATATTCTTAAGTAAAACCTCTTTTTTTCTTTGTCTTTTAAACATCTTAAATGCATAGTGGTGAAGAATACCATGACTCCAAGTGTAGTTTGGTGTCACTGCCTTTATTTGTGCTAAGGTTCCATCCAGCAGTTTTACCTAGGGGCTTGAGGGCCCCACTTTGAAAATTATTGACGTAGTTGCTTAGACCTATAAATCCTATCTTCTCACGTACAGGATTAGAAGAGCATGTCATAAGCAGGAACTGATCTCAGTAATTTTTGTTGTTGTTACAGTGCTCATAATATGGTTTTAAGGGGTTTTAGTCCAGAGCAACAATTCATATATTTTATTTTGCTTATGTAGAATTAGACAAACACTAATCTACACAGTGAAATTCTAAAATTTAGTTGGGTGGTTTTTTTGTTTTTGTTCTGTCCTGTTTTGTTTTTTGGAACTAAGGTCTAGATGGTATATTCCAAACTAGGCTGAAGAATTTGAAGAAGAAAATGCAATACTCAATAAGTAGTTTTCTTTAAGAACCCAGGATTAATTTTGAAGGTAGTTTTTCTTTTAGTCTGTGAATAGCTTTGGGACACACTGAAAATTAGAGAAATGAGAATACAAAATAAACCATTATTGAATAGATCTAATGATGTCTTTCTTCAGTACAGTTTTTTGTTCTATAAAGAACATTTGGTGAAGCGCTTCAAAAATAGTTTCTTCGGCTTCAACTATATTGTAATTGAGATTATAGTTCTCAGAGCAATGCTTCTTTAATACTGTGTTTCTGAAAAATTGTTTTTCCATAACTAGAACCTAATTGTTTGGCAGCTAGTATCTAATAATAGTGACTTTTTCCTAATTTATAATAGAAAACAGTACAGAGTAAATGTCTATTAGTAGGTGAAAGCATGTAATGCTTTTTTCCGTTAACCTTTAAAAATCAACACATGTAATGGTACTTTAAAAAATATGTAACTATAGCATTTCTTGTAAGTACTCAGTTTGCGATGGAATAAAATATTAGAATTTTATGGGGTTTGAATTAGTTATATATTGCTCTGTAACAAATGTAGCACCCTAAAACAGCAACATTATCTCACAGTCTCTGTGGGTCAGGGATCTGTGCATGGCTTATCAGGGTTCCCTGGCTTCCAGTCTCTCTCAAGGCAGTAAAGGTGTTGGCTAGTGCTGAAGTCATCTCAGCGTGAGACTGGGAGAGACTCTCCTCCAAACTCATTCATGTAGTTTTGGTAGGATTAATCTCCTTACAGGCCTCAGGTCTGAGGGCAGCAGTTGGTCAGAGGCCTTGCTCAATCTCTTCCCATGTGGCTGTGGGCTTCTCCATAGGGAGATGGCTTCATTGCAGGGGGAAGGGGGGTAAATGAAAGAGCAGGAGAGGGTGAGCAACACAGAAATTCTCATCTTTGTGTAACCTAATCCTAGAGGTGATATCACATTATTTACTGTATTGTTTGCTAGAAGTGAGTCTAGGGAAGGGAATTAAGGGTATGAATACCAGGTTAGGATTATTGGGACCATTTTAGAGGTTGCCCACTACAGTGTTCAAGAACATCATTGACCTCAGAGCTGTAGCACACAGACAGTGGCTGTACAAGGAGGCTGCCTGTCTCAAAAGCCCAGCTTCTGTGGCAAGTGAAAGCTGTATGTACCATATGGTCACTGTATCGCTGTTTGTTCTGACTTCTAACACCAGAGATATTTAAGGAATAATCTTAACCTCATTTAAGGAATCTGTTCCTTTAGAAACTACATCCCTCCCTACAATCTGAGAAGGGTTGGAAATTATTAGGAAAAAGGCAAAATTAGGGCGCCTGGGTGGCTCAGTTGGTTAAGCGACTGCCTTCGGCTCAGGTCATGATCCCAGGGTCCTGGGATTGAGCCCTGCATCGGGCTCCCAGCTCGGCGAGAAGCCTGCTTCTCCCTCTCCCACTCCCCCTGCTTGTGTTCCCTCTCTCGCTGTCTCTCTCTGTCAAATAAATAAATAAAATCTTTAAAAAAAAAAAAAAAGGCAAAATTAAATGGGATTGATTCCCCCCCCCCCCTCTTTTTAGGGCCAATTTTCTAATGGAGAAAAATCTCAAAGTAACTTCTGTAATTATTTAGAGAACAGGGAATATAGGGAGTAAGAAGATTTTTAAAAATCATTTTAGCATTTATAAGGATTTAAAAATATGTGCCTAGATTATACTCCTTTGCTTTACCTTTAAAAATTGAGTTAGATCTCATGTAGATAAAGTTTAGAAATGCAGCTTTATTATATTAAAAAGCAAAAGTAGTATGGTTTGAATTTATAAATTATACTTCAAGGTTGGGAGGTGGCTGCTTTTTTTTGTTTTTTGTTTTTTTCTTTTTGAGGGATTTATTTGATTCCAGATTTTAAAGCCTTTAAAAAATGTTAAAGCTGGAGAATCCAGGCCATGATTGACCTTTCTTTGTAAAGGAAGGAAGCCCATCTTTCCTGGTCCTGAGTACCAATTTTTTTTCAGCTTGTGATAAAACCTAACTTTTGCAGTATTTCTTTTCTATTTTAAATGCTACTACCTACTGGGTAAACTACTTTTTTTGCTTGATTTTTAAATGTTTAAATTATGTAACATGGAGCAGGCAAAATTACACCATAAAACTGTTTTTAAAAAATCCACAAAAAGAGGGGGCGCCTGGGTGGCTCAGTCGGTTAAGCGGCTCCTTCGGCTCAGGTCATGATCCCAGGGTCCTGGGATCGAGCCCTGCATCGGGCTCCCTGCTCAGCGGGGAGCCTGTTTCTCCCTCTCCCTCTGCCTGCCTCTCTGCCTACTTGTTCTCTCTCTCTATCTCTCTGTCAAATAAATAAATAAAATCTTAAAAAAAAAAAAATCCACAAAAGAAATTTTTCTCCATGAATAGATTTTAATGTGTTGTTTTTCTTCTCCTTGATATATTTTACTTGTCATCTTGCCATGTGGTGGTATAGTTAACTTGCATTTCCAGATTAGTCCATATGTAAATGTGTTTAACATGGGTGTCTCTGTAACAGGAATCTTACCCATCTTCTTCACCAATATGGTTTGTGGACTCTGATGACCCAAATCTGACATCAGTGCTGGAACGTCTAGAAGATACTAAGAGCAACAATTCGGTGAGAAAATAAGCCAACCTACTATTTTTTTTCCCCCCTAAAGAACATTATATGTAGAACTTAAGTGTTAAGAGGTAATATGATATAGAAAAGCCTGATTAATGATTATTTGATAATCTTAAAGGAGCTAAAGACCAGTTTTGTTTGTCTATTTTTTGGCCTTCAAATTCTGTACTACCTGATATCTTTTTTATTCCCCATAGGTTAAACTTAATTTAGATGAGTTAGGTGGTCTCTTTTCAGTGAATTCTGATTTTAAACCAACCAGACATTTTTGGTAGGGAACACTAGCCAAGGTGGAAGATAGAAAAAGAAAAAAAGACTGAGGTGGATGTGAGGGGAAATAATGCTAGAATGACATCAGTGCTAGTGTTAGGGAATTGCTTTCTCTCTCAGAAGTCTGTAACTGCAGTAATAGTCATAGGTATAAAAAGAAAATGCATTTTTTGTTTTTTGCTTTTTTTTTAATATATGAAGAAATGTAACTTTCCATTTTACAAAAAATTTAAAAATCAGTTTTCTTTGATTATAAAACTAAGCGACTATTGTGAGAGCACTTACTAAAATAAAGGGAAATAAGATTTCTGCCTGATATAACCACTGTTGACATGTTAGCTATTTTCTATCCATATTTTTCCCTTGCTAGTAAAATACATGGACTCTAATAAATATGTTTAAATAGTTGAGGTCATATTCTATATAGTTTTATATCCTTTTTTAAAATTAACATGGAATGAAAGATTTGACTGCTATCTTCCTAGATGGGCAGACTGCATATTATAAATATGTCTGTTACCTCCATAGTTTCATGTTAATTTATAAATTGAATGCAATTAATCCGAACAGTCTTATTTTGGGACTCTAAAGTTGGTTTTAAAGAGTAAATAAAAAAAATAGTTGAAAAAAGTAATGAGGAGAGACTTGTCCAATTAGATGTTAAATAAAAATATTATGGGGCGCCTGGGTGGCTCAGTTGGTTAAGCGACTGCCTTCGGCTCAGGTCATGATCCTGGAGTCCCAGGATTGAGTCCCACATCAGGCTCCCTGCTCAACAGGGAGTCTGCTTCTCCCTCTCATGCTCTCTGTCTCTCATTCTCTCTCTCGCAAATAAATAAAAAATCTTAAAAAAAAAAAAATTTTAAAAAATAAAAATATTATGTACTGGCAATGGACTGGACATATAAAGACAATAGAAGTTTAAAAACATTCATGCAATTGAGAATTCAGAATAAGTTAAAATACTCAATAAGGAAAAGGTGGATTATTCTATAAATATCATTGGGAGAACTGACCATTTAGGGAAGACCACCTGCCTTGGTCTTTCCTGAGCTCTTATCTCAGATTTTTGTTAAAATAAGTTACAGGTGGTTTAAACACATCTATTCTTAAAATTAACAACAGAAGAAATCAGTTTGAGGAGTATTTTAAGAGTAGAGGCTGGTCTGGAGAGCCATGAAGGTTAGAGGTAAAAATAAAAAGCTAGACAGATACAAGTTCATATTTCCAGTAGGGGAGTGACAAGACAGGGAAAGATAGCCCTCTTACTCCTTTTAGGAGGTTAACTCTAAAAAGATCTACAGATATAAGTTTTGTAATAGTAGAAATGATTGGGTTATTTTTCAGTGTCTAAAATTTTTCCTCAAAAAATGCTCACAAAATGAAATGACATAGGACATAAAATTGGGTCTCATTTTATTTTTTAAAGATTAATGTATTTACATAAAAGAAGAAAACCAGATTACCTTCTACTCTTATAGTCTCTGCCAGTTATTTCATAACCTAATTTCTTGACAGAATAAGTTGTATTTCCTCACCTTTGCTTTACTTAATTCATTTTAATCTGGATTCTGCCTTCATTGTTGCACTAAAACTTTTTATGTCTAGGTGCCAAATCCAGGGAATCCTTTTTTAACCCTAAAATTGACCTCTCTGCAGCACTTTGTTAGTGGTGATTGTTCCTTTGTTGAAACATTCCTCCATTTAACAAACATTTATTAAAGTCTACCAATCAAAAGCTGGTTAAATAAAAGCTGCTGTGTATAGTTTTATGATAGAGTATTATATTGTAGTTAAAAATAATGCAGCCAGTCTTTCCATAGGAATGCATACAACTTTCGAAGTTATGCAAGTGAAAAGGCAAGGCATAGAATATTGTTTATAGGGCGCCTGGGTGGCTCAGTTGGTTAAGCGACTGCCTTCAGCTCAGGTCGTGATCCTGGAATCCCGGGATCGAGTCCCGCATCGGGCTCCCTGCTCGGCGGGGAGTCTGCTTCTCCCTCTGACCCTCCTCCCTCTCATGCTCTCTGTCTCTCATTCTCTCTGTCTCAAATAAATAAATAAAATCTTTAAAAAAAAATATTGTTTATAATCTGGCCCCTTTTGCAAACAGTGTTGTAAAAAATAAAAAAATCTATCTGTGTGGGTTTATACATACTTTTCTCTTCCTGGGTGTGTACAGGAAACTGTTAATAGTAGAACAGAGAGAAGTATCTTTTTTTAATTGGCTGGCTTCTATGCCAGGCTCTGTGATAAGTGGTGGGTACAAAAGTCAAGTCCTATCCCTGTCCTCTGGGACCTGATAATCTTAGGAGAACTTCCATCAGATTACTGTCTCCTATTTTTATCTCTTAATACCCTGCCTTGGTCTTCCCTGAGCTCTTGTTCCTTGGTCTGCCTCTTCTCATTCCATGCTTTCTCCGAGAAATCTCTTTTACTACTATTGCTTAAATCATGGTCTGTATTCCAGGGATTTCTAAATCTTTATCTTTAGCTAAAATTTATCTCCTGAGTTTCAAACCCATATATCTATCTATATATCCTGTAGATCCAGGGAATCTCACTTGGATGTGCCATGGCTGTTCAAAATGATTATATCTAAATTTAAACTTCCCTACCTTGTGACACCCAGCACCCCCATTGAGTTCCCCTTAGTAATTCTCTTTGTGATTGTGAGTGGGACAAGATGAAATAATGAAGCTTGTCCCACCCATGGCTGAACCAGGAAACTAAAAGTTCTTTTTTATGCCTGTATTTCCTCATACCTCCCTTCTCCAAACTACCTAGTAAGGTTTTAATACTTGTCCATCTACCTTCTAAATATTTCTTAAATCTTTTCCCACCATCTTAGTTTCTTCCATCCTTCAAATGCTTTTTTGGGGGAGTTGAAATTCCTGAAAGATGTACAACCCTATTTTTCTTGTTGCTTGGTATTACTACCACATTGCTGCCACTCCCACAGCACTCCCTTAGCTCTTCCTTTGCCAAGGGTTGGAGTGTCTGGGTCTGTGTCCAGGTCAACCTTTCTCATCTTCATTATGTTTTTGAAACAAAACAGAGCTTATTGGAGGGGTAAATCCACAGTGCCTTTTAAGCTTGACAGTTTTTGTTTGTTTGTTTTTATCCTAATCTACTGCTCAGCTTTCCTAATTTCTGCTTGTTCCTTTGGCAACTTTGGAAAGTCCTATTCTTCCTTTGTTGACCCATTCTAATCCTGTTTCTGTTTTCTAGTCCTTCATAAACCTGCTTTTTCATCTCTTTTCCTGGTCAGAGACATCCAGGAAACTGTTCCTGACCAGGTGAAGTAAATTACTTGATTAGCTCCGGGTAAGGTCTACTAAGTATTGAACATTGTTCTTAAACCATAATTCCTAAATGTATACATTGAAAAGTTTTCTTTATTTCAACAATGAAAAACATGTTCATAAACATAACTTACCTTGCTTCTTTGCTTGAAGTAAATATGCTTACAAAACAATCTGGATGTAAAAATGGGAATTTAATGAGATACTCCTTGCAAAGTTTTCCTAGTGCATTTTTTTCCCTTTCTTTTTTTTTTTTGACAGATGCTTAAGAACCTAGTAAGTGCCAAGTGTTTTCACAGAAGGTTTCATTTAATCTTTACCATTATAAGAAGTTTTTAATTTCCTTGTTTTACAGATGGGGACCTCAAACTCAGGGAATTAGGTGCTATATCCAAGATCCTTTAGATTCCAAGAGTCTGTCTACTAGACCACATTTGCCTCTACTTTTAAATGAATATGACTGGAATGTATAATTTTATAACCCGTGTGTAACAACACTGCCTCTGGGTTTGTTTGTTTGCTTTTTTTTTTTTTTTTTGTCTTGTTGCCTCATTAATGTAAGTGTATTCTTGTCTGAAGTCGTAAGTTTCTAAGAAAAGGAGTTAGCAGTTGAAAATTCGACAATATCTGGAGCTCTCCTTCCTCAGCCTTTTTGTTGTTGTCATTCTGCTAGGTATTAGTTATAGGGATTGTACTCAAGCCATAGTAACTTTCTTATACTAGCAGCCCCTAAAACTATTTCGTAAAGACTGTTATTTTATCTGTAGGCTGTAATTGAGCAGAAACAAACTTTTTTCCTTTCCTACTGGATTGGTTACAGTAGTCATAGCATTATTCATGTCTTCTAAGGGCTCTTTAACATAATGCTTATTTACTGAAATGTGTTTTGTAGCTTCGTCAGCAGTTGAAGTGGTTGATATGTGAACTCTGCAGATTATATAACCTTCCTAAGCACCTGGATGTTGAGATGCTAGATCAACCAATACCCACGGGTCAGGTAAAGTAAAAATTCTCTAGTGTTCAAGAGCTAAAATAAATTGTCTCAAGCAGAAGTAAAACTAGGATGATTTTTCTTCTTATTATGCAACTTATTTAGAAGGTGTTGGATTGTTTGTTTTATTTTAGATACTAAAAATAACCTGTTTACTCTTTGGAGCTGCTGGTATTTACTATGACAGGGAAGCAACTGCCTCCCTCCCCACTACCACCTTTTTGTTGTTAACATTCCTGATTTCCATAACTGTTCCTTCAGTTGTTTGCCTTTGCTTATTCATTTGCCTTCACCTGGAATGCCATCTCCTTTTAAGCCTATCTCTGCTTCTTAAGGCTTAACCCAAATGTTACTTCCTCTAGTGCCCAGAAGTGCCCACTAGTTCACCACCACCTGTAACTTTTCTAGATTTCCAGATTTACCTATTTTAGGGCATAATTTACTGACTTTGTACTATAAATAAGGATTTAGCTCTTATACCACCTACCTTCCCACCCATCTCCCTTCCTAAAACACCATTATATTTAGTCATATGAATAATCACTGTTTATCATTAGGACTTTGTAGTGTAGAGTTTTCTATTGTGACATTTCTTGTAGAGCTCTTTGTTTTGCAGTGTCCTCCTCATAATAATAATTCTTAGTTTATTTTTATTTTTTTATTTTATTTTATTTTTTTTTAAAGATTTTATTTATTTATTTGAGAGAGAGAGAATGAGATACAGAGAGCAGGAGAGGGAGAAGCAGACTCCCCGCTGAGCAGGGAGCCCGATGCGGGACTCGATCCCAGGACTCCAGGATCATGACCTGAGCCGAAGGCAGTCGCTTAACCAACTGAGCCACCCAGGCGCCCTAATAATTCTTAGTTTAAAAAGTCATGTTCTGGGGCGCCTGGGTGGCTCAGTCAGTTAAGCGTCTGCCTTCGGCTCAGGTCACAGTCCCAGGGTCCTGGGTTCTAGCCCAGTATCAGGCACCCTGCTCAGCGGGGAGCCTGCTTCTCCCCCCCCCCCCCCCCCCCCCCGCCGCTCTTCCTGCTTGTGCTCTCTCACTCTCACTCTCACTGTCAAATAAATAAATAAAATCTTTAAAAAAAAAAAAGTGATACTCTGGCTCTTTTCTTCGAGCTCTTGGCTCTTCTAGAGGCTTTGGTTCTTTTGCACCAGTCTTGGCAGGTTGTTCTCTGGGCTGGCTGTGCAGCTGTCATCTTGAAATTTTTGTCTCCTCTGCTAGTGTGGATCTATTGTTACCTGGTCTCATGTCATCTTTCTTGCTTACCCTTTCTCATTTTGCCTGAGTACATCTTCAAGTAAAATTCTAGCATGAAGGAGTAGTACATTTTTTGAGTTCTGACATCAAAAAGTATATGACCAGACCACCATAGGGTTGAATCTTGGTTCTGCTTATTAGCTGTATGACCTTGTGATAATTACCCAACCACTGTGTGCATCAGTTTCTTTTTAAAACGGGGGAAATAGTAGTACCTATATTTTGCGGGGAGCTATGAAAATTAAATGAGTTAGTATATGTAAATAATTTAGAGCAGTGCATGGTTTATAGTAAATGCACAGTAAATGTTAACTGCTATTATATTTTACTTTGCATTTGGTTGATGGTTAGGTTGAATATATAATTCTGGGTTAAAAATCATTTTTCCTCAGAATTTCAAAGACTGTTCTGCTATCTTCTAGCCAACGGTGTTGTTTAATTTAAGCCTGATGCCATTCTAAGTCTTACTCATCTATGCATGACTTGGGAAACTTTTAAGAGATTGTCTTGGTGTTCTCAGATATCACAATGGTGTATTTTTAGTTGTGGTTTTTTGTTTTTGTTTTTTCATTGTTGCTGGACACTCAGTATGGATGTGTCTTTTCAGATGTGGGTTCCTTTATCTTTCTCCTTGGGTAAGTGTTCTTGTATTTTTTTCTGTGATAACTTCCTCCTTTCCATTTTATTTGTTCACTTTTAGAATGCCTACTAATGGGATTTTAGACCTCTTTGCTTGAGTCTTTGTATCTTTTATATTATCTCCATATTCACTTTTTTAATTTCAAATTCTGAAAGTTTTTCCTTCAATTTTTAAAAATTTTATTTGGACAGCATAACTTTTTGGTTGTGTTTTATTTACTGCTGCTTAACCTCTTACCCCAAACTTAATTTATTCTATTTATCACAGTTGTGTGGGCTGATTAGGCTTAGCTGGACAGTTTTTTTCTGCTGACCTCACTGCACATTCAGATAGTGGCTGGGACTGATGGTCATGACCTGAGCCGAAGGCAGACACTTAATGGACTGAGCCACCCAGGCATCCCTAAAGTCTAGGACAGTTTAAATAAAAATTCAACTGGGTCCAATTTTGCCTCCCATGAGCTATCTGGAGATAATTTTGGTTGTCACAACTGGCTGAGGGGAGTGCTATGGGTGTTTTGTGGGTAGAGGGGATGTTACTAAATGTCCTACATGACAAAGAATTATCTAGCCCAAAATATTGGTACTTCCAAGGTTGAGAAACCATGGTTTAAATAAACATCTGAGCCTGATCTGTTTTTCTCTTTTTCTGTATATTACTCTTCATTTTTTCCATTCCTTTAGTCATTTTTAGTAATTTTAGATTCTAAAAAAATCACTTCATCTGTACTTTTGAATCTATGGTTATGAAGCTCTTTTCATTTCTAAAGTTGTTTTCTTTACCATGATTACTTGTCAGAAGCTTGTCTGTTTTATTATACTGGTCTTTTGAAAGAATCAGTCCTTTTATTTTTTTAAATCTAATTTTCTTTTTCATTTTTGTGTGTGTCTTAACTCTTTTTTTCTTTTGCCTTTCTAGTTTATTGGACCACTGTGATTTAAATTGCTTTAACAAACATGTAAAGGTACACATTTTCTTCTGCATGCTATTGCACTTCATGGCACAGGTTTTAAGATTTAGTATATTTATTTTCTAAACAGTTTGTATTTCCTAAGTGATTTCATTCCATCTTTTGTTCTATTACTTTGTTATATTTCACAAGAAGTTGTATAGGTGTAGAAAACATATAAACATGAGCGTTAATAGTTACCGTAAATACCTGGGAACTACCACCCAGCCCCGACCCAGGTGAAGAAACAGACTATTGCTAGTACTACAAACCTTCTGCACGTTCCTTCCAGATGATCATTCCCTTCAATGCTAATCTTTTCCTTTTCCCTAGTTTTTATCATATATATCTGCATTTCTGAACAATATGATTTAGTATTGACTTTTTAAGCTTCATATTGAGTCATACTATATGTGTGTTCTTTGTCTTTTGCTTAACATTGTGTGTTAAATTTATTCATATGTGTAGCTGTGGTTCTTTTTCATTGCTGTATTTATTCCATTCTTTGAACATACCATTACAGATTTATCCATTTGAGTTGATTGCAGTTTGCTATTAGGAACAGTGTGGGACGCCTACTTGGCACTGTTGGTTAAGCGTCTGACTCTTGGTTTTGGCTCAGGTCGTGCTCTCAGGGTTGTGAAGTTGAGCCCCACATCAGCCTCCGCACTCAGAGCAGAGTCAGCTCAAGATTCTCTCCCTCTCCCTCTGTTCCTCCCGGTTGTGCTTGCGCTCTCTCTCACTCCCTCTCTCAAAGAAATAAATCTGTCTCTAAAAAAAAAAAAAAAAAGGAACAGTGTGCTACCATAATCATTCTTGTCCATATTTTGTGGGATACCTGTGTAAGCATTTTTCTGGGCACATACTTAGAAGTTGGATTACTGGAGCAATTTCTTCTTAAACCTAAGAGTTCTTTAGAAAAAGTTTTTAACATTCTCAGGTGGCCTTTGGGCTATTTTTAGTTTTTCACTATTTACAATATAGCCTGTAACTTCTCAGCTGAATTATCAACAGTTGCTTAAACTTAACCATTGGTGTTACTATGTCTTTGCTTATTGCTGTATCTTATATTCCATGGTTGCTTCCTACTCTGAAAATAGATCCCTTACTAACGTTCTCTATTGTTATTTTTAGAAAGGATTTCTAGGAATGAGTGGAGAGTGTTCCTTGAATACTCAGTGTCTGTTTTTATTATTCATTCAACCCCTATCCGTCTGACTGTGTGCAAAATACTCTATAGAGGTGCTGAGGATCCGGTGGCAAAGAAACAGATATGGTGCCTGTCCCGATGGAACTAGACATAGAATTCTAAGTTCATAATTGAGTCTCTTCTAGGTTCTTTACGCTTTTATCTTCCAGAATTTATTGTTACAGATGAAATGCCTGATGTCTGGTTCTTCTTTTCCTATATATTTGTTTTCTTTCTGGAAGTTGGTATGGTTTTTTCTTTAACTGTGAAGTATAGGGTTTTACTTTTCAGTATTCCTTTGGGGCATTCAGAGCCACTTAATATTCTGAAGTCTTTCTTTAGCTTGACAACCTTTGTCTCTTATTTCTTTCCCTCAGTCTTATGGGTAAATAGCGGATGAATATTAGTTCTGGGTATTCCTATCTCCCATTTCCCGTAACTCTTCTATTTCAGTACCCCTTCCTCTCCCCACCCCCTATCTCCCTTTTTCTCCATATTCTAAGGGATTGTCACAGTTTGGTCATCTTCTTAATCATAAATGTTTTGTTGATTCAGATCCATTGTGCTCTCTGGTCCTTCTACTAAGTGTTTTTTTCCTTTATCTTTTTTTTTTTGAAGAGGAAATCTTTTTTATTTCCCAGAACTGTCTTTTCCTTTGCATGGTTATCTTTTTTATGTTTTGTGGATACAATATCTTCTCAAGTACTGCTAAGGATTCCAATTAGATTTTTTTTGTTTTATTTTCTTCATTAATAATGCTTCAGGTCACTTGTTCTGTTTGTTTGACTTGGTGCCTTTTTTCCAGAGTGCCGGTTTTCTTCAATGTCTGGTGATACTTGGTCATCTGCTCATTTATAGATGAGGTATACCATTGATCACATTGTCAGTGGTTGATGTGAGTGCCCTCAGTAATTGTCACTCTTCTCTGCCTGGTTTGTACACCTGTGCTCTGGCTATGGCTTGTGAATGGAGAGGTACTAGCAGGCAGACTTTCCAGCTCCTGAGTTCAAGGAAGAGATGAGTGAGTTAGATTTTGCTGCTGTGTTGAGTTGTATTTTTAAAAATGTCTTTTCTCTGTAGTTCTGACACTTATACTAAGAGGCCATCAAGTTAGGCCTCCTATGTAAGAAAGTGATCCTTGGGGCACCTGGGTGGCTCAGTCGTTAAGCGTCTGCCTTCGGCTCAGGTCATGATCCCAGGGCCCTGGGATCGAGCCCCGTATCGGGCTCCCTGCTCAGCGGGGAGCCTGCTTCTCCCTCTCCCACTCCCCCTGCTTGTGTTCCTTCTCTCGCTCTGTCTGTCTCTGTCAAATAAATAAAATCTTAAAAAAAAAAAAATCCTTACCAGCTGTAGTTGGAACAAATACAGCAAGTATTTCTAGAAGGAAAAAAAAAATCATACTAACTTTATGCATTGTGTTGTGAACTCTGCTCTGGTTCAGAAAACTTGTCTTTTTGAACTCTGCCAAAACTAGGTATGAAGGCTCTTCCTAAAACCCCATCAGATTATTTGTGAATGAGTGGTAAATTGTAGAGAAGTATTCTGTGGTAAATGACATGTTGTAGAAAAGAAAAATGGCTCTTTAGTGAAATGGTGATCATTTTACAATTTTGTAGTTTTGTAAAACATCACTCCTTTATGACACATTTTACCTTTTAAAATGTGAGGAATGTATGGAAAGATTTAGGCTTTTCAAAGTTAAAAAGGTAGATATTTTAAGGAACCTATGGTTTGGGATATTTGTTTTAAGTGAAAGAAGCCATTCATTGACCTTATATACATAGCCATAGGTATAAAATGTTTTCTTATTTTAAATTAGAATGTTTTAAATTTTTTTCCAGTTTTGCTTTATATTGGACTAATTGCTGTTGTTTATTCTCAAGGCATCTATCAAGTTGAATCGTTCAAAAAAAAATTTTTTTTTAAGCTGATAAATATTGTCACATCAAACCTGGATTTAAAAGTAAATATTCAACTTTAATAAATTCTATTAGTGGAACTATAGTGACAGATGACTGATAATTTGTCCCTAAAGTCTTCTAATGTCCTCAGTATGTGCTTATTCTGTGCAGCCCTAGCAAATTGGTTTTGTTTTTCAGAATGGGACCACAGAAGAAGTGACTTCAGAAGAGGAGGAAGAGGAAGAGATGGCTGAAGTAGGTATTTTATGTAAGAATCACGTTTTATAAATACCGTATCTTCATTTTTGAATATTTTTGAATCTCCTTTATAAACCAGTGTTAATGTGGAATAATGAAAACCCCATTGCATTTGAAATTGAATATAATTTCTAAAATCTGGCTTTAGTTTTAATTAATGATGTTTTTGAGCAAAATGTTTGATTTCCTAGAAAATCTCTTAACATTTAGCATTAAAATTATATTTACATTTAATAGTAATCAATGCTTAACCCATATTTGGTTATTTTTAAGAAGAGGAACTACTAAGTTTCAAAAATTCTGAATTTAAATAAAAGGAGAATTTGAGAACGTTTCAGGGACTACTCACTAGAAGTAATAAAGCTATCTCATGTTGAAAAACCATCTAAGAATTTGGTAGGGCAGATTCTAAGACCTTGACCTTAGGCCAGTTTAGTTACCAGGCACTGATATAATTTTAGAGGTTTTCAGACTCTGAAGCTTTGTGTTTAAATTCTGTGTCTCTTCATTGACCAAGTAAAAGGTATTTGAGTTCCACAGTCTTGATTTTAAAACTTTCTTACTGGTTTGGATCTTAGAATTAATTCAGGTTATTACCTTATTTTCTTGATGTGCAAAATCTTAAATCTTAAATACACTTCTTAGAAGGCCTTAAAACTAAAGAAGTAGTTGTGGTTTGTTTTGTGAGTCTGGGAGCAAAATAATTCTTTTTTTTTAAGATTTTATTTATTTATTTTACAAAATGAGAGAGACCACAAGCAGTGGGGGAGGGGTACAGGGAGAGGGAGAAGCAGGCTCCCCACCAAGCAGGGAGCCCGATACAAGGCTCGATCCCACGACCCTGAAATCATGACCGGAGCCAAAGGCAGATGCCTAACTGACTAAGCCCCTCATTTGTCTCCAAGATAATTCTTAACACTGTCTAATTTGTATGATTTTTTTGGGATAGTTTGTTTTTCACATTTTCATGCAGTGTAATTTAGGTAGAATAAACTGCAGGAAAATAGTAAACCTTTTCCATGGGTTCGGTGTCCAATGAAATAGAGATTCTACTCAGAGTTTATGTACTTCTCATTTTTTTCCTTTGCAAGATAATGTAAAGAAGGGACAGCAACGTTTAGGGAAATCTAGAAAGATAGGATCCTGGATTTCAGAGATGTCAGATTAAGATAGGAGAAAATATAATCTAGGTAACTAAAATAATGGTAAAAAAGGCACAGAGCAAGCTTTGGGCATGGTGTGTTTAGGTGCATTGGAGATTGACGTGTTGGAGTCATGGAAAGCAAGTTTGGCTAGAAAAGCAGATGGCTTAAAGTCTTGAATTAGAGACAAATATGTTTATATTTGGTGTGATTGTTGAGAAAAAGGCCTTGAGCAGAGAATAGTGTGCTGAGAATGTTGTTTTATAAAGATAATCTGCACAGAACAGAATTCATCATTAATACTCAAGTGGAGAAGATTTTTGGATAGGAATGTGGCTGAGTTTAAAGGTGGAGGAGGAAGAGGAGATCCAGACTAAGGACATTTCTGAAGAAAATAAGTGTGGAATAGAACATTGGGGCTGCAAGGTACAAATCAGGGGAGGGAGCTCCATGAAACATGGAGTCATGGACAGAGTCTCAATAAGAAAGGAATGTTAATAGGGGTTGAGGAGATGAGAGTCTAAAGAAAAAGACCATTGGGTCTGGATGGAAGTGGTTTTTAAACTGGTCTACAAATCACAGTGAATTAGTTTCCTTAAAGAAATGGAGATAGTAATTATCAGCTACTCCTTTAGAGATTTTGATGATTGAAGTAAAGAGAAGTTAAGATAATAGAAAAAGGTTAGGATTTTAAAAGTTCTGCATAGATTTGTTTAAACAGGAGTAGATGATATGGAAAAGGAGGAAGGAGAATGATGTAGTGATTAAAGATGTTAGCCAAGGGCTGCTATTCAAATTCATAGTCTAATTTTTTCCCTAATTATAAGAATCAGTAGGTGCTCACTACAGAAAACTTGGAAAAGAAAGAAAAGCACTAAATGTCTCTAGAGATTATTATTTCAGTATATGTCCTTCTAGCCTCTTTTTTTTTTTTTTTAAGATTTTATTTATTTATTTGACAGAGAGAGAGCGAGAGCAGGAACACAAGCAGGGGAAGTGGGAGAGGGAGAAGCAGGCTTCCTGAGGAGCAGGGAGCCCGATGTGGGACTCGATCCCAGGATGCTGGAATCAAGACCTGAGCTGAAGGCAGATGCTTAACGACTGAGCCACCCAGGCGCCCTCTAGCTCTTTTTTTTTTCTGTCCTTGTTTTAGCATGACTGAGAAACAAAGATTGTATTCTTTGTTTTTCATTGCATTATTTTTTCCATTTAATACATTTTATTTAACCTAATATATTTAAATTATTGTCATTTCAACATGTGATATAAAACAAAATTATGAGGCCTTCATATTTTTTCTCACTAAGTCTTCCGAATCGGGTGTGGACTGTACATTTACAGCACATCTGAGTTCAGACTAGCCACATTCCAAGTGCTCAGCAGCTGCAAGAAACAAGGGTCTGCCCTGCTGGACAGCACAGCTCTAACTAGTATAGGCCCTGTGGTCGCCCAGGGGTGCCCAGCCCACAGCTCAACCCAGGGTTGTGGTGGGGTCCCCCCGGTGGGTTCTCAGGTTTGGGTTTGGGGCTGCTGCACTGCCTCACCCCCAGGCAGCAGCCAGAAACAGCTGAGACCCAGTTGAGCACAGAACCTGGCGCCCACAGTGGCCAACTTTGTCCACTCACTGTGCCACCATCCTCACCACACTTCTGTTTCATTATTGATGCAGAAGAAACAATTATGCTATGTTGGCATTTTAATGGTCTTCTAATATTCCATGGAACTGAGTTACCTGTTCTGGGTTTTTGTTTTGTTTTGTTTTTAATATTTATTTGAGACAGAGAGCGCCCGAGCAAGTGCAAGTGCGAGCGGGAGAGAGGGGCGGATGGGAGAGGGAGAGAATCTCAAGCAGACCACACTGAGCGGAGGGCCTGCCACTGGGCTCCATGACCTGAGCTGAGCTGAGATCAAGAGTCGGATGCTTAACCAACTGAGCCACCCAAGACCCCCCTGCTCTGGTATTTTTGCACATGCAGTTTTGTGAGGGGGTTTGTGGCTATAAAGTTTAAATAGGCATCTTTATCCCCAAGTCTGTGTTCACATTTTAAATTAGTTCCTTACAATAGATTTCTAGAAGTCAAGTTACTGGAACAAAGCATGAATAAGGTTCTTTATACCTAATGCTAAACTGTTTCAAAAGTTCCTCTTAATAGGAGACTTTTTTGGTAATAGTTACGACTTTACAGATCTATTAAGTATGCTTTACTCAGTTTGTAGCTTTTAAGCAAAATGTAAGATCTAAAAGGAGGGAACCTGAACTGAATGTGAAGGCTTTTTTCCCTTCCCCATTCTCTGTTCCCTGTCGAATCAAGAATAATTTAACTTTTGTATAAGTTTCAATAAGCTAATATTTTTCATGTAGGATATAGAAGACTTGGATCACTATGAGATGAAGGAAGAAGAGCCTGTTAGTGGAAAAAAATCAGAGGATGAAGGAATTGAAAAAGAAAACTTGGCAATACTAGAGAAAATTAGGAAGACTCAAAGGCAAGACCATCTCAATGTAAGTATGTGCCAATATCTAGAACCTGGACTTTTGGGATTGAGTAATTATAGGTAATAATATAAAACTGGGCAAGTCATTAAGAGACCAGTCTAGGCTGCTCTCCTCCACCCTTGCCTGTGTTGTGCATTCAGCCATTTGTTGCCCTAGTGGGTTGTTGTTGTTGTTGTTGTTGAAGTGTCTCATTTGCTTTTTACGTGCTGGAATTAACCTGCTGTTCACCGTATACACACCTCCTTTCCAGACTATATCGCTTACCCTTCTCCTATGAGATCTGTGTATTTAAATTTAGTGTCTTCTACAAAGTACAGTTTAAATTCTTCTCCACCTCTAACCAAATCAAAAGTATTTTTTTCTTTTGACTTAACATCACTTTTATGTGAAGTTGCATGGGGCATGAAATGAACACTGAGTCTGGTAATAAACACAGGTATGTGGCTTCAGTTTCCTCAACACGAAAATATGGATAATATATACCTTTTGGATGATTGCTGAGAAGGATAAATGAGAATGATGCATATAAAATGCCCAAAGTAGGGGCATTTTTGTTTCAACACTTCCTTCTTATTTCCTACCTTGTATTAGAGCTCTTTATCAAACTCGTGACATCTGAGGACCTTTGTCTTGGGTATAGGTTCTCAAAAACCAGGAATGAATTATTATGTAGGGAGATGCCAGGTGTTGTAAGCAGATAGATTACTCTCTCCTTCAGTCCAGCTGTATTTAATTGGCAAATCTTTTTTAGAGAGCGAAGAAATTTAGCTCTGCCCTTATCTTGATTATTTAAAAAAAAGTTTGTAGCATTTAAATTAATGATTACTATACTTTCTATCTCTTGTGACTGCTTTCCGTTTGGATATTACAGTCAAAACGAACACAAATTATTGAATGTTTTCACATGAGAGACACTAAGTACTTTAAATTTTACATACCTTCCCCTTCAACCTTTATAGCCACTTTATAAAATATTGTTCCTATTTGTAGGTGTGAAACTAGGATTTAAACCAGTTAAGTAATGTACTCAAGGTCACAAAGCTAGAAAGTAATAGCTTTGTGAACATGATTGCCACCCATCCCCCAAAGTGTAGTGCAGCCATTAACATTTTGAATTTTACATGATCAGTTCTTTTTTTTAATTGAGGAATTCTAAATGTGAGAAATAGTTGGCATTCATATTCAGTCTTAGAATAAGACATTGGTGCATTTTCATTTTTAAAGAAATGCCAACATTGAAAAGAACTGAAACTAGTTGCATGCAGGTGAACATGTTATTTCTCAGTTTCTTAATATGTAAAGTAGACCTTCAGTATAACATTCTTCCTTATAGTCTGACTAATGAAACTGTTTTAGTTGATAGTGTAAAATGGTAAGGGCCATCTAGTATTTTCAAAAATTGATGGTGATGCTACATACTTAAAAGAATAGCTAAAATTAAAAAAAAAAAAATTAAAGAATGGCCAAAATCAGGAACAGTGACAACACCAAATGCTGACGAGGATGTGAAGCAATAGGAATTCTCACTCCTTGCTCATGGGAATGCAAAATGGTACAGCCACTTTTGAAGACAGTCTGGCAGATTCTTAGAAAACTAAACATAATTTTTACCATGTATTCCAGCAGTTGCACTCTTTGGTATACCCAAATGAATTGAAGACTTATGTCCAAACACCTGCATACAGATGTTTATAGCAACTTTATTCATAATTGTGAAAACTTGGAAGGAACCAGGGTATCCATCCCTTCAGTAGGTGAACAGATAAACTGTGGCATATCCCGACTATATGGAATATTATTCCCTGCTAAAAAAGAAGTGAGCTATCAAACCATGAAAAGACACAGGAACCTTAAATCTATATTACTAAGTGAAAGAAGCCGATCTGGTGAAAAAGCTACACAACTGTATGTTTCCAACTATATGACTTTCTGGAAAAGTCAAAACCAAGGAGACAGCAAAAAGATCAGTGCTTGCCAGAGGTGGGGTGGAGGGATAAATATGTGGAGCACAGAGGATTTTTAGGGCAGTGAAAATACTCTGTATGATACTATGATGATGGATATGTGTCATTAGGTATTTTCCAAACCCATTTAGTGTACAGCACCAAAGGTGAACCTTAAGGTAATTTATGGATTTCACTGGTAATGATGTGTCAGTGTAGGTTTATCAGTTTAGAAAATGTACCTTCTGATGAGGGATATTGATAATGAGAGAGACTGTGTGTTGTGGGAGCAGTTATATGGGAAATCTCTGTACCTTTCTCTCAACTTTTCTGTGAACCTAAAAATGCTATAAAAAATAAAATCCTAAAGAGAAAAAAAATTAATAGTTTAAAAAAAATCATTGGAGTTTGAAATAGGTTTATACTAAGTTCTAGGCTATTGCAGGAACCATGGTAATCTAGACATGTTGGTTAGACTTTTTTTTTTTTCCTAGATGCTAAGAAACAGTAAATGAGCCAGACTTGTCCCGCATTTTATATTTCTATTGAAACTTCATAATCCTCAATTCAATTAAACTTCTTTGATTTTTTTTTTTTTTTAATGTCGAGATGTGATCTGTTTTTATAATCTCATTGTAAACTTTCATTTCAGGTTTACATACCTGAAATCTTCAGTTATTTGACTCCGTAGATCCTGGTAAACAGCAATTTTTATGTTGCAGGGTGCAGTATCTGGGTCTGTGCAAGCTTCAGATAGACTTATGAAAGAGCTCAGGGACATATACAGATCACAGAGTTATAAAGCAGGTAAGGACCTCTGGATCTCTACTCTGTTGTCCTTATGCTGTTTTCAGTTTTCAGATAGTAAGCTTCAGTTCTTACAATGTTACTGGATAGAAACAGAAATGGTTATTAACTTTATTTTAGGGATGTGAAATGCAGATTTAATCAAGTTATTAATAGATGTGGAGGTAAAATAGGATGAGTTTACTTGCTCTTTGGGTTTTTGAAAGTTGTTTTTATGGATACCTCATAATTTTTTTGTCTTCTTGCTGACTGGGATTAACTCATGATTTTTAGCTTCTGGGAAAAGTATGAGTAATATCTGCTTTGGAAAGTAAATAAGATACATATGTTATTGTATGAACAAAGAACTATTGCTGAGTTGATTTTTATGATTTTTCCTTATTTTTTGAAAACAAAAAATCAACTTTTATTGTATAAGTAGTTATGGTATCACTTTAAAAATAGGTGGGTTTTTTTTATTCATTTCATAGTTTGACTTTGAGTGTTCTTTCTTGCCCAGTAAGACTTAAATACTGTGGAACCGCTCTAATTGAAGTAAAATTCCCTTTGGTTGTCAGAGATTCTAACTATATTAAAATAAGGGAAAGAGCCAAATTTTAATATGTTTGAAAAGTTAGCTTTGTGATCCGTTCAGTAATTCTCAGAGTGACCAAATCTAAATCATTAGAGCTTACTTAGTAAAAACAAAAAGCAAAAAAAAATTTCTGCTTTAGAGTGCAAGGTAAGCCAAATTTGACTCTTGAGTTATGACAAGTTTTGGCATCCTGTTTTTCTTATTAGAAGTCTAAAAGTTTATCTGTAGAAACTTAATCAAGCGCAGTTAAATTTTTAAATATGGGTTTACTTTTTTTTTTTAATTCTTATGTTAATCCCCATACATTACATCATTAGTTTTAGATGAAGTGTTCCATGATTCATTGTTTGTGCACAACACCCAGTGCTCCATGCAGAATGTGCCCTCCTCAATACCCACCACCAGGCTAACCCATCCTCCCACCCCCCTCAATATGGGTTTACTTTTAAATGTTAAATAATTACTTGTTATAGCATTGTTTGTAGTAGCAAAAAATTAAAAATTAATCAGATATAGGGTTGAATTGGTTAAATTATGGTATATCCATAAAATAAATTTCCATAGAGTTATTTAAAAATCGACAATAGACTTCTTATATACTAAATTGGAAAGATGCCCTGGAAAGTTGAAGAAAGATTATACAACTATGTAGAGGGATTCCATTTTTATAGAAATATTTGCATATGCATAAAAGAAGAGTCTTAAGGTACATAAGATTTTGCATAATTTTTCCCCTCCCACTCACAGTCAGACAGTTTCTCAACTCATTAAAAAATCGTCTTCATTGATGGCTTTAATTATCTGTTAAGAGCCTAAGCTACTCAGCTCCAATGGCAAAATATTTATAATATAGCTTAGTTGTTCTGTGTTTTAATAGCAAAGTTTCTAGATTTTGATGGTTATTTAGTATGTTCATTTACACTGAAGTAGTAGTTATAAGATCAAATAAAGAGTAACCTAGAGGCTCCTGGGTGGCTCAGTTGGTTAAACGTCCGACACTTGATTTTGGCTCAGATCATGATCTCAGGGTCGTGGGATAGAGTCCCACATCAGGCTCCACACCCAGCTTGGGATTTCCTCTCTCTCCCTCTGCCCTTACCCCCACCTCTCTCTTTAAGAAAATAAATAAATAAATAAATAAAAAGTAACCTACGTGTTCTATATCTTTACAGGGATTTATTCAGTGGAACTGATAAATGACAGTTTATATGACTGGCATGTTAAACTGCAGAAGTAAGTGACTCTTATATGCTAACCCAGTCTTTGTAATGATAGGGGGAAAAATTTTCCGCTGGGATAGTCTAATTTGATACCTTGTACGCTATAGTTTTTACTTAGAACTTTAGACTGTGTTTCTATAGAAATAGTTCTCAGGTTGTTAAAATAAGCTGTTTCTTGGGCTTAAATAAGTGAAGTCAGAAAGAGGAAGAAGAAAAAGAAGGACCAGCTGTGGGATAAAGTGTTTCATGGAGTTAGTGAGATAATTGGGAAGTATAGAAACAAAAGTGTGTTTAATAACCTGATTGACCATGATAACCAGTTTATATTTGGAATGAGGAATTTGAGTAGGACCTCGATGTGTAGAACAGTTGTAGACAGATTCAGATTTTGTTAGTGATTTCACTTTTTCTGGTCTCGTCTGTGATAAATTTCTCTCCTTGAACCCCTTGGCTAGTAATACAATTTTAGAGAAGCAGATTAATTTTTTTTGAGTTCTTGAGAAAATTTATATACATAAGACTTCCCTAGGATGACTGCTAACCTTGAATCTCCTTATGGGAATGGATTTAGAATACTGTGACCTTTTTGGACATTTAATCCCAAGGAGTCCGAGGCTATTGCAATTTATTTTTCCAGGGACCATAGAGCAGTTTTATGTTTGAAACTTACCTGAGGGGCTCTGCTTTAGCTCTTGAACTGGTTCATTTTTTGTGGTTACTAAGAAAAAAAATCTCTTGGTTTTTATTTGAATTGTTTTTTGTTTTGTAATTCTTAGGGTTGATCCTGATAGTCCTTTGCACAGTGATCTTCAGATCTTAAAAGAAAAAGAAGGCATAGAATATATTTTGCTTAACTTCTCTTTTAAGGTAAGAAAATGTTAAGGGGACTCCGTATGCTTCTAATGGGAATGTATATTTTTATAATTGCTTTGGAGAACAGTTTGGTATTACTTGTTAAAGTAGAAGGTATTTCCTGTGGTTCAGGAATTCTCCTCATAGTATATACCCCACAGGAAATTAGTACTTAGGTACACCAGGAGACCTATACAAGACTGTTCAGAGCTGTGTTGTTTTTAATAACGCCAAACAGGAAATAACCCAAGTGTCCAAGTAGAATGGAGAATTGTGTTATTCATATAAAAAGGAAAATGTACAAAATGTGGGTGAATCTTAAACACAGTGTTGAGCAAAAGAAACCAGACCCCAAAACATGTTTTGTACAATTTCATTTATATAGAGCTCAAAAATAGGTAAAACTAAATTATATTGTTTAGAGTGTGCATCCGCATCTCATTGGAGGCAGGATCCCCACCAGTGAGGTGAAAACTCCTTCAAGTGAAAAAAAAAATCTTAAGATATTATAATGGTCTGTGACCCTTTAAGGGACCACATTTTATAAACAACACAGTGTATCTGTTTTGGGGGATAGATTAAAAAAATTTTTTTCTAAAATATTTCTAAAAAGCTTTCTTAGTGGAGCAAAAATGAAAAGGCTGAGAAACACAGATTTATGGATTCAGACTTGGGTAATTACTTTCAAGGAAAGCAAAGATGTGGTTACCATACAGTTGAGGATAGGGAGTACATCTAGGTGAGAGGGAGGGAGTTGTGAGCTGTGAAAGGGACATCTGGGGATTTCTTGGAAGCTGGCTCTGATTCTTGACCAGGGTGCTGGTTACATGGAGGCATGTTTTGTAATAGATAATGGTGTGCCTTTATATTTTATGTACTTTCCTGAATTTATAGGTTATATTTAATAGTTTTTTTAATGTTAAGAATAAAGGTTGAAAAATAGCAATGGAATTTAGATAAAATGTAATGATTTAATACGGAATATGGATAAATGTAGTCCTTTTAAATCTTCTGTTTCAGAAAAAACTAGGAAGTGGTTCTAAGGAGTTATATTTGAATTAGATGGAGCTTCTTTTTGCTATGTTTATGTAACAATTGTCTTACAGATAGGTATATTTTTTCCTTTTCAGTTAGGTAGACTTCAGTGCATTAGGGACTATGGAAGGCTTTTTTTTTTTTTTTTAAGATTTTTAAATTAATTCATTTGAGACAGATAGAGAGAGAGAGAGAGAGCATGAGCAGGGAGAGAGGCAGAGGGAGAGGGAGAAGCAGGCTCCCCACTGAGCCAGGAGCCTGATGTGGAGCTCGATCCCAGGACCCTGGGATCATGACCTTGAGCCGAAGGAAGACGCTTAACCATCTGAGCCACCCAGGCGCCCCTATGGAAGGCTTGAGGACATGGAGGCATCTAAAATATAATCCCTGTTCTTCAAGAGCCTGCAGTCTTTCTAGGGGAGAAATCTGTGATGAAAGCTATATTGCTTCAGAGACCATGATGAAGAGTCTGGGATCGTAACCTTTATACAGTAAAGAGCCAGGAGAGGTTTTTAGGTAGGGGCATGATTGATCTTTTGGGCTTTTTATTATCTTTTTTTAAAACAATTATGTCTTCAGTATCAGAATAGGGTTTGGATAAGATAGAGTAGATTTCTGAGAGACTATTGGGGGCTTTGATTTTAATCTGAGCAAGGAGTAATGACAGATGATGGTGGTAGGAATAGGTGAGAGTAGACGGATATGGGGGGTTTTGAAGGAAGAAAGCAAAGACATGAAAGAATACTTTATACTTACAAAAAGACTATAATTTTCTGAAAGCTTTTTACTTAGCTTTTGTGTGTGTATATTTTTGTTCGGAGATATATCCTTATTTATGATTGAACTTTCCTCAGATAACCCAAATGTCAAATGTCTGTATTTGCCATCAATTTTGTTATTATAGAAACTTTTGTGGTTGTCAGTTGTGTTGTCTTCCTAGAGAGTGAGTTTGATATGTATTTACTGAAGTTGCTAATGTGATTGCATTTTCACTGATTCATATGGTGAAAAAATAAACCAGGATAGTAGGCTTTTTTTTTTTTTGATATACAGAATGTTTTAACCTGAACAATCTAAACAGTTTTATTAAATCATATGCCCATGTATCCAATACCAAGCTTAAGATATAGAACCTTACACCTGAAACTGTTGTAAACTGTGTCAATTATACTCAAAAAATTAGGGTCTATTTCTTTTTTTTAAATCAGGACCTTTGAAAGCCCCCTGTGTGTCCCTTTCCTCGCACTTTCTTCTGAAGAGTTATTTTTAAGGGAGTATGAAATCTTGACCAGGAAACTGAAAGACCTGTGGCTGCACTTAATGTTTTCATGATATTTTTCTACTCTAGGTAGAACTTCAGGGAGGGGATGATCTGGGAGGTAAATGGCTGAAATTCTGTTGCATTTGTCCTTCTGGACCATAACTCCTGATACCAAAAAAGAAGGGCTGGTGCTAGGGCTGGAGTAATTCTTAAGAGGGCTGGGAAGGATGTGATTGCTCTGAACTAAGTGACCTTGGCAAACGGAACTACCAAGTTATTAAGTATCAGGATTCACAGAATTGGAGGATAGCAGGTATGACTCAGAAAGAATGATTTACGGGAAGGAGCATGAACAGTATTTATGGCCTCAGATGTCCATGGTGACAACTTGAAAGTCATGACTAATAAGAAAATGGAACTTGAGATATAATATAACACAAGGTTGGGGATAGGGGCAGGAGGGAATGAAGACCTGTCAGATTCATCAGCAGCTTGGCAGTTGTGTTATGCTATGCTCTTAAGGAAGTGGTGGTCTAGTTTTTCAAGCCGTATCTGAATTACTGAGCTGAATTCTGAGGTAGTACTTTAGGAAGGGTTTATTTAGATAAATTTGGGTTCATTTAAAAAGTAGTGGCAAGGATTTGAAAGAGATTTCCATGTCCTAAGATAGCTGGTTAAATTGTAGATTTGGAGAGAAGAACATAGGGGTTCATGAGAGCTTGTTCTCAACTATTTAAAGGGCTGTGTGTGTGGAGGCTTTCATTTTTGTTTTTGATTAACACAAAGCATGACATTAAAACTAGTAAGTCAAACTTTAAAGAGGTGATTTTCAACTCAGTATAAGGAAGTGATAAGATAACTATGTAGAGCCATTCAGTGAGTTTTTCAAGAATAGAATGTTCTTCATCATTAAAATTATCTTGAGAGACCAAGATGTTGAATTGAAAACTTCATGATATCCTTATAAACCTTGAGAGTCTCAGTTTCTGAGTTAGTATACCAAGATAACTCAAATGTCTATTTTAATAGTCATCCTCATCCTCCCCAGTATAACCCTTTAAGGAACTCTTATTTCTATAAAATATTGATTATGAGTTCCATGGTGCAGTTTATGGAATAGAGTCCTCGGTTTTGATGTGGAGGAGTTACTGTGAAGAATTACTTAAAATGAAGGTAAATCTCCCTGTCATATAATCAATTAAAAAAGGTTTATCATTCGGGATCACATATTTAAAGATCTAAAGAGTAGGAGATTAAATGAAGTTGTACTTTACTAAGCTTTGCATCTATGCCCTTCATTATATCTGTTAAATAGCTCACCTTTTATCTACAATTTATTTGGAAGTAGATTATAATAATTGTCATTAAGTTGGCATCTTGTGTGGGTAGTAGGTTCTCCCTTGCAGTAGAAATCTAAGATTATCTATTTTAACCACCGGAAGTGTGCTTTTTATATCTTCCTCTCCTATTAGGATTGACTTTTCATAGTTTGTATGTTCCTTAGAATCTTATTTGAGGATGGGTGGAAGTAGGGAGTTTAAGTTACTGGAATTACATACACTGCTTATTCTTCCAGTTAAAAACTATATTTTTGTGTTTGTTGGAAATAAGTGGATGAGACAAGTTATTTGTTGAGCTCCTTTACCCTCAGATTGGTTTAAGAGACAATTAGTTGTTTGTTTCCTTTTATTTGACCATAGAAATTGAAGATAATTTCTCTTAGACTTCCCGTCATGTCTTTATTAGAGGCGATATGCTTTTTCCTTACCCCACTGCTGTAGGAAAATGAGGGGCAGCCTTCTGGGCTTTCTGACCACCAAGAGACTGACCTAATGCTCTTAGCAACCTTGGCTACCATTGTTGCTTTAGTTCATAAAGAGAAAAAGCTCTTGTTCTTCTGAAAATCTGTTTCCAGGACTGAGAATTTGAAAAAGAGAATTGTATTTGGTAGCCTGAGAATTAGCTGAGGTTTCTTTTCTCTTCTCTTCATATATTTTTATCAAGTCTGATGATCTTTGTTTTTTAATTAGAGCAGTTAGTCTTACTTGCATTTAATATTACTGACATTTGGGTTTCAGTCTCCCTTCTCCTAAGTGCCTTTTATTTGTCCTTGTTATTCCATGTTCCTTTTTCTCATTTTTTGGATTTTTTTTTAATTGCTCCAGTTTCTCACCTCTTTTAGCTTAGTACTTACGTGTTCTCTTACTCTTCTTTACTGCCTAACAGTTACAATGTATGTCCTTGTCAAAGTCTAACATAAATTTAATTTATAATTTACCTTTTCCTCATCAATGCAAAGACTTAGAACGTGGATTCCCTGCCAAATATGTGCTTTCATGCATTTTCTGTACTTACCTAGAAGCTATACATCATTGTTCTATAATTTAGTCAGTATTCATTCATAACTGCATATTTGCTCTTTTCATGGTCTTTATTCTCTGTATTTCCATCTAGGATCCTGTTTCTCCTGCCTGAAGAATATCCTTTATTTCCTTTAGCTTGGGTCTCCTGACAAGAAAATAACCTTATTGTGAATTTATTTTTTGGAAAGTATTTGTATTGGGTATAGATTTTTAGATTAGAAATTTCTTTCAGCAACTCAAAAACTTATTCCCTCATTGGGGCTTCCATTGTTTCTGTTGAAATACTCATAGTGCTTAAATCTTGTGAAGTCTTTCAATTTTGGAAAATTCTCAGTCTCTCCAAATAATGCTTCGGTCCCATTCTCTCATGTCCTTCTAGGACTCTACATATGATAAACCTTTCCAATACATTCCCCTGTGTGTTGTTATTTTCTGCATTTTTCTACCTTTTTCTCTCTCTCGGCTTCATTCTGGATGTGTTTTTTGGCCTGTTTTCCTGTATACTGAATTTCTCTTCCACTAAGTCTCTACTTGTGTTTAAATTCATCTGTTAAGTTATTGATTTCAGTTCTTTCTAAGTTTCAGAATTTCTGTATGATTCATTTTTATAATTTTAGTCCTTTGCCAGGGTTTTCAATCTTTTCTTTCCTTGTACATATTCAGCATGGTTATTTTAAAAGCTATGTCTGATAATTCTATTTAATCTTGATCTCTTACGGTTTTTGTGTCATTTGCTTCTCATTTCCTGGACCTGTTTAAGTCTTGTGTAACTGTTTTTAGTAATAGACATTACAAATGAAAAACTAGCTTATTTTGGAAGCCTTGGATGTTATTCTTCTCCAGAGAGGGTTTACATTTGCCCCTGTCTGGCTTGGGCATTAGCAGCCCAGGATCACTGAATCCATCAGGGATTTAGGTGATGTAAAACTGGACTTCATTCGGGGTGCCTGGGTGGCTTGGTCGTTAAGCGTCTGCCTTCCGCTCAGGTCATGATCCCAGGGTCCTGAGATCGAGCCCCACGTCGGGCTCCCTGCTCAGCCGGAAGCCTACTTCTCCCTCTCTCACTCCCCCTGCTTGTGTTCCCTCTCTCGCTGTCTCGCTCTCTGTCAAATAAATAAATAAAATCTTTAAAAAAACCAAAAAACCAAAAAACTGGACTTCATTCCTTGTCAGGGCAATTTGTCATTTGTCCTTCAGGGTCCCAACCTGAAGTGTGGGAGACTTGTCAAGGCCTCTCCTTGGTGGACCCAGCACCAATTTTTACCTCCTCGGCCCTGTGAGTGTGAGTCTGAGTTCTGCTGCGCTTCTTGACTTCTTATCTTCCTCTTCTGTAATTGAAAGAAAACCCAAGGTGGGAGGTGGGGGTGGGGGGGCACAGAGGGAGGAAAGGCCCTGCTCTCCCAGGTTCCCTTTTTTTCCTGATCTTAGCTCTGTAATTGTTAAATTTTATCCACCTCTTCTAGTTCTCAACCAGAGGATTGATGTAAGTTACCTAGTCTATCATTATTGGAATGGTTCCTTTATATAGCTTTACTGAAAGTGGAACCCCTTCATATTTTTCATAACTTTACCAAAACACTGTTCTGTTTGGCCGGCTGTGATCTTCTTTTTTTTTTTTTTTGCTGTGGTTTTTACTTCATTTTATTTTTGGTACTGTTTCTACTTTCATGACCCTCATTACCGGATAATAAATGCACACATTCTTTATTCGAAATAATACTGTATTAAGGATTTTCTTAAAATTAATTAAACTTGGGGCACCTGGGTGGCTCGGTCATTAAGCATCTGCCTTCGGCTCAGGTCATGATCCCAGGGTCCTGGGATCGAGCCCCGCATCGGGCTCCCTGCTCCGCAGGAGGCCTGTTTCTCCCTCTCCCACTCCCCCTGCTTGTGTTCCCTCTCTCGCTGTGTCTGTCTCTGTCAAATAAAATCTTTAAAAAAAAAAATTAAACTTGCCCATTTGCATTTTAGGATAACTTTCCATTTGATCCTCCGTTTGTTCGAGTGGTGTTACCTGTTCTCTCAGGAGGGTAAGTTTAAGTAACTATTTTCTTTGATAGTATGCATAAGAATCATTTGGAGGGCTAGTTAAGTGCTAGGAGGCCTAGAATGCTCAGCTTTACCCCAGGGTTACTGATTCACTAGGTCTGGGATATAGGGAACAGCTGAGAATTTGCATTTCTACATTTCTAAGATGGTGTCAGGTGAAGCTGATGTTGCTTGTCTGGGAACCATCGTTTGAGAACCGTTGGTTATAAACCATTATGTTGTTTATAAGTAAGAGTTTTTAATGTCCCCTATTTGTATACATTTCACTGTAAAAAACCAAATGTTTTTCAGATATAAATTGTGATGATTGATGGTTTAGAGAAAGTTAAGATTCGAGAATGATTCTCACAAGACTGTGATCTCTGGAATAATCACAGAAAATCTCATGGGCCTATGGACCTGGCCATCTAATTCCTTCTAAAGGTGGTGGTTTCAGTTTGGGAGAATCAAATTGTCATGCGTTTTTATTGAAGCTTATATTGCTTTTTGTGATTAGAAGTCATATAAAGGATGGTGAAAAGATCAGAATTGGTACCTGGGTTAGTTATGAAATGTTCTATAAATCCTTAAATTAGGAGTAATTAGTCAGTTGACTAATTCAGCCTTGTGAGGTAATCCCCCATATTATGGTGATTAATATCTAAAAATCACTAGTCCTTATTTTGATCATTGCTATTGTTGATATAATTTCATTTAGATAAAAAATATGGATGGCTATAAATGATTAAGGAAAAGATTTTGAAAAATTTTGTTCAGGATAAGTGTATAAAAATGTTCTTATCAGATCATTTTGAAATTAATCCAACCTTGAGTGGCATAGATTTTTCACATTTTGTTGTGAGAAATCCTAAGAATTTAAGAATTTATGATCTTAAGTAGTTTACCACCTAGTTGTGGAGACAAACAGATGAAGTTGAATAATGCCATTTTCAGTTTAAAAATCTGTTGCGTAGTTTCTCTTCATTGCTTCTTTTTGCTACAATGGTGGTATTATCCCATTATACAAATGAATGATTTGAATAATAAGTCAGCTTGTTACTTATCCAAATAAACCTTGTAATAAAATGTTTTTTTTCCATTATACCAAAAACCAACAATCTAAAAGGAGATTAAAAATTAAATAAAATTTTTTTAAATTAAAAAAAATAAAAGGAGGTTAAAAGTATTAAGTACTTCATTGATTGGCAAATGTGAAGTGTGGACTTGAGTTCTTTGAGGTTAAAGGAAAAGGGAGTTGCTTCCAGTAGTAGTGATTTGGGAAGACTGGCAAGTAGGTGGGATCTCAAGGGGCATTGAAGTATGAGTGAGTTTGGCCTCCTGGTGGAGGTTGAAGGAAAATTATCTACATAGGTGAAAAGTAAATATAATCACATATCTAGGGAAGAGAGCATCATGTATTCATAGCATACTAGACGAGTTTGAGTTACAACGCAAGGTGGGTAGAATTCATGTAGAAGAATTTTATGAAATTGTGCTGACAAAATATCTTATTATGGTGACAGGGTTTTTTGGTTTTTGTTTTCATTTTCTTTTTGCTGGTAAGCAAACTATTACCCTTGGATATTGAATTTCTCTCTCATTAGCTGGTTCAGGAACAGGAAAATACAGGAAAGAGAATGTTTTAGAAAGAAATATGGTAATAGTGGAAGAAGACAGATTGTGTTCACAAAGCCTAGAAGAATGCAAGACTTGTTAAGAGCTGATGGCCCTGCCTCAGTGGCTCATTCAGTTGAGCGTTGGACTCTTGAATTCAGCTCAGGTCATGATCTCAGGGTCATAAGATCAAAGCCCTGCAGTGGGCTCTGTCTGCACTCAGTGCAGGGTCTGCTTCTCCTCTCCCTCTCCCTGTGCCCCTCCCCCTGCTCATACAGGCTTTCTCTCTCTCTCTCAAATAAATAAATCTTTAGGGCGCCTGGGTGGCTCAGTCGTTAAGCGTCTGCCTTCGGCTCAGGTCATGATTCCAGGGTCCTGGGACTGAGCCCCACATCGGGCTCCCTGCTCCGCGGGAAGCCTGCTTCTCCCTCTCCCATTCCCCCTGCTTGTGTTCCCTCTCTCGCTGTGTCTCTCTCTGTCAAATAAATAAAATAAAATCTTTAAAAAATAAAAAATAAAAATAAATAAATAAATCTTTAAAAAAAAGAGTTGATGGCCCTGTCTTAGAGTGAAGTGAGGACAACCTAAATTGGTACAGCGGGAATGAAAAGATGAATGGAAGTTGAACACTAATGTGAAGCAGAATCACAGTGACTTGGTCTTCATAGTCAACTGTTAAATGATGGAGAGGATTTATTGGCTGACTTGGGAAGAACTAAAAAATGTTCTTAGCACTGATAAAACACAGAGTTTTGCAATCTCAGACTCAGGCTAGAGCTTAAGCACTGAGTGACTCTGATCAGATTATTAAGCAGTTTTTGTCCCATATATTTATATCCTCCATCTTCTAGCTATTATTCCTCTGTTCCTTATCAAAACCAAACTTTTTCGGGTGCCTGGGTGGCTCAGATGGTTAAGCGTCTGCCTTCGGCTCAGGTCATGGTCCCGGGGTCCTGGGATCGAGTCCCACATTGGGCTCCCTGCTCCTTGGGAGCCTGCTTCTCCCTCTGCCTCTGCGTCTCTCTCTCTCTCTGACTTTCATGAATAAATAAATAAAACATTTAAAAAAAAAACAAAAAACCAAACTTTTTCTTTTTAAATAACAGCTTCATTGCGATACAATTCATATACGCTAAAACTCACCCTTTGAAAGTATACAGTTCAGTGGATTTTTCATATATTCAGAGTTGTATAACCGCTGTCTAATTTCAGAACATTTTCCTCATTCCCCAAAAGAAACCCTGTACCCATTAGCAATCATTCCTCATTCCCCCTCCAACTCCCCACCCCACTGGCAACCACTAATCTCCTTTCTGTCTCTAAAGATTTTCCTGTTTTTGCACATTTCATGTAAGTGGAACCATACAAAATGTGGCCTTCTATGGCTGGCTTCTTTCGCTTAGCAAAATGTTTTGAAAGTTCATCTGTATTGTAACATATATTAATACTTAATTCCATTTCCATTGTATGGCTATACATTTTATTTATCCATGGACATTTGTTGTTTCTGCCTTTGACTATCATGAATAATGCTGCTATGAACATTCACATACATGTTTTTATCTGCATATATATTTTCATTTCTCTTTCATATATACCCGTGTGGAGTTACTAGGTCCTCTGGTAACTGTTAAACTTTTTAATGAAATCCCTCTTTGCCAAAATGGCTGCACCATTTATACTCCCATGGCAATGTTTATATAATCACACTCTTCACTTCCTGTTCACTCTTCAGCCACTGTCGTCTGGCATTAGTGGTTAATATTCCTCCCAAACCACTGGTGCCAAAAGGAACTTCCATATTGGTAAATCCAAGCGTCCCTTTTCAGGCTTTATTGTATTTGATTATCTGATTTCTCAGCAACATCGAGACATTTTTCTCCTGGCTGCTGGATGCCTTCTCTCAGTCTCTTTAGCTGGCAACTCCTTGTTCACCTAACTTCTACATGTTGGAGTTCTTCAGAATTGGTACTGGGTCCTTTCCCTTTTCTCTTTCCTTCCATTCCTGTGGCTTTTTTTTTTTTATTGAAATTTTTGAGAAAATTGTATGTTCACATGCAGCTATAAGAAATAATAAAGATTCCTTATACACTTTGCCAGTGTGATGTTTCACAAAACTATATGTAATATCACAATGAGAGAGTGATACAATCCATAGAACCTAGATTTTCCTATAGTTTTTCTTATACCTCATTTGTGTGTATGTATGTATTAAGTTCTGCATAACTTGATCACCTGTATAGGTTTGTGTATCCGCCACCACAGTGTAGATATTAAAGTTCCAAATAGGCAAGAATCCTTCTTGTCTTTTCAAACCACGCCCATCTCCCTCTTATACAACCAATTCCCCTAACTCCTGGAAACCACTAATCTGTCCTGCATTTTTAATATTTTGTCATTTCAAAAAGCATAGTTACGTAAATGGAATCACACATTTTGGGATTGTAACTCCTAAGAATTAGATTTTTTACTCATCCCGAATCCCTGGAGATTCATCTACGTGTATGACTAGTACAGTTTAATCAGCCACTTCTTGAAGGACTTGCAGCCTGATTCTAGTGTTTGGTTATTGCAAATAAAGCTACTATGAGTGATTGTAACACATTTCTGTATGAATGTGTTTTGCTTTCTCTGGGATAGATGTCCAGGAGAACAATGGCTGGGTGATATAGTTACTGTAGCATATTGAATTTCTAAATAAGTTGTTAAACTCTTTTCCATAGTGGCTTTACCATTTTACATTCCTACCAGGAATGTGTAAGTGATCTAGTTTCTCCACATACAGCATTTGGTTTTGCCACTGTTTTTATTTTAGCGATTCTGCTAGGTAGTGATACCTCATTGTGCTTTTTTTTTTTTATATCTTTATTAGGATATCTAGAATCAACTTTTGCTTTTTATTGACATGTAATGTATTACTTGTTTCAGGGGTACAGGTCTGTGACTCATCAGTCTTACACAACACAGCACTCACCACAACACATACCCTCCCCAGTGTCCATCACTCAGCCACCCATCCCCCCACCCCCTTCCCTCCGGCAACCCTCAGCTTGTTTCCCGAGATTAAGAGTTTCTTATGGTTTGTCTCCCTGTCTGGTTTCTTCTTGTTTCATTTTTTGCTCTCTTCCCCTATGATTTTCTCTCTGCCTTGTTTCTCCATTCCACATATCAATGAGATCATATGATAATTTTTTTTCTCTGATTGACTTAGCACTTAGCATAATACCATCTAGTTCCATCCATGTCATTGCAAAGCGCAAGATTTCATTTTTTGATGGTTGTATAATATTTCAGTGTGTATATTTACATATACATACATATACATATATACCACATCTTTATCCATTCATCTGTCGACGGACATCTGGATCTGGGCTGTTTCCATAGT